AGTGGAGAATGGTTTGCATGCAGCAGAGATTCCCATGGCAACGCCACCTGAGGCTGGGAATAATGGGCATGATGAGCAGACCTCCAAATTCTCCATCCCACGCTAGCTTCTGCCATTTGCCAGCCCCGGGTCCTCACATTCATTATGCTACCTGATTGAGCTTCGGTTTCACCGTCATCTAAAACCGAGCTTGCAGTAATAGTTCATAGTTTGCTGTCTCTTTGTGAATGACTTCAGATGGAAAAAAACACCTAGAATGATTCTTGATGCACGTTCATCCCTTATGACTCATTTGCCAAACCTCTTGGCGATCAGTAACTCTGTCGGACTCAAGGCAGGAGCTGCGAGCTCTCTCTTTGGTATAGCGTGAAATAATTAGTGACAGGTGTGTCCATCAAATGGCTGTAAGGTCACCTCAGATTTTAAGCACCAGTGTGCTCATATGTGTGGTAGAATCAAGGGGCCACTCCAAAATAGGTGACTGATTGGCCTCGGACATTTGACTAGAATCTTCTGCCCTAGCTAACTGGCCTACTTCCCTTTCTCCCTGGGCTGGTAAAGCTGCTCTAGTTGTAAGTGAATGTTGTTGGCTAATGTCACACAAGCACCAAGGGACCAGGAAGAAGCACTGCACTATTCATTTAAGATCCCCATCCCTAAAAAGCCACATCCCACTGGCAGGGACAGAAGAACACATGTTGGCATTTGCAAAGCCATTTTCCGAACCCCTGAGCAGTAGAAACAAAACATAGATGACTATTATCTCATATATTTAATTTAATATTTAATAAGTATGACTGAGTGTTAACCACCAGATAGACACTGTTAACCGCTGATAAAATAGAGAGGTGAGTTAAATATCATTCTTTTTAAAGGCTATTTCTTTTCTGTGTATGAGCATTTTGTCTGCATGTGTGCCTACACTACACAAGTGTATCTGATGCCCACAGGGATCAGAAGAGATCTTCAGATCCCCTGGAGCTAGAGTTACAGATGGTTGCGAGCCACCAAGTCAGTGCTGGGAACTGAACCTGGGTCCTCTGCAAGAGCAGCCAGTGCTCTTAACCTCCAAATCACTGCTCCAGGCCCCTGAAAAACCATTCTTGATCTCAAGACTCTTTATGTTCCACTGGGAGACCTGACAAGCTAACTTTAGAACATAAAATAAATATGAAAATGAAAGTTCCCTAAGACTGTGCCAAGCTACGTTCGTTCTGTTTGCAAAACAACGCCGGGGCCTGAGGCCATTCCCGTCTTCTTCTGAATTTCGTCTAGAGGAGAGTCCCTTGGCACAGTCAGGCTATGCTGTTGGGTATGGAGTTACAGATGTATCTGTCACGTAAACTCTGTCACCCATCAGGCTATGCTGTTGGGTATGGAGTTACAGATGTATCTGTCACGTAAACTCTGTTACCCATCAGGCTATGCTGTTGGGTATGGAGTTACAGATGTATCTGTCACGTAAACTCTGTCACCCATCAGGCCATCAAGTTAGAATGCCTGTGTTGGCCCAGCTCTGATCATCGGAAAACCCTACCTCTGCCGAGCATGTCTGAAGGCAGGCTTCATGTCTGCGGCAGGAAGCAACCTTCATGAAGTACAGAAACTGAAGTGAAACTTGGAACCAAGTGGCCAGGGCAGGCAGTTTCTGATCTGCTTCCCTCTCTGACCTCTGCCACGCCCCCCCCCCCCCCCCACCTCTCCACAGCCACCCTCCTCCCCTTTGCAGTTTTTCTCAGACTTGGACTCTTCTCACAAAGTCCTATGGTTCCTTTGTCTAAATTGACCAGCCCAGAGTTTCTGTCCTGTAGTGTGAAGACACTCTCTTGGGCTTTGGGTGGAAGAGTCCTGCATCTCTAGCGGGCTAACTTTAAAAACCCTGGAACGGCAGGGGAAGAGGACGTGCTTTAGGGCGTTCACCTAGAATGCAAGGACAGGCTGAACCAGACAGAGAGCAAAGGGAAGCAGCCAGGCCCAGGCTGTCAGTGATGGACACTTCTGCAGGGGCCTAGCTCTACCTTTCTCAAAGATGGACCGACCGCCAACAATGTCTGTGAAGCAGGACACAGCAGTCAGCTTCTACTGGAGTTGTTGAGCCTTCCTTCCAGAAGGGGAACTCAATGAAGTGAATCCAATTACTTCACACATGCACATATGCACATGCATGCACACACGGGGGGGGGGGGGATGAAAGGAGGAGGGAGGGAGGGAAGGAGGGAGGGAGAGAGAGAGAAGAGAGAGAGAAGAAAGGAGCGATGTAAAGAGGACTTAATGCATGTTGCTGGAGAGATGGCCCAGCCTGCTCTCCTTGCAGAGGGCCAGAGTTTGGTTCCAAGCACCCACTGCCTGTAACTCCAACTCCAGCGGTCTGACACACTCTGACCTCTGCAGACACCACCACGCACATGCACACACATCCATGCACACAAATGCAGACAGACTCACACACACACACACAGAAATTTAAAAAAAAAACAAGTTCTCAAACGTTTAGTCATTATAATGAATTTCACTTAAGGACTTTTAAATGTTCTCTATCAGAGAATAATATCTGGTTTTGTAATCTTTCCACAAACACCCTTTATCTGGTGCACAGCTCAGCCTTGAAGGAAGTTTAGCTGTTTGTACCAGTAAGAGGAAGAACCGAGGCACAGAAGAGCTGCACTAGGTCAGCAGGTACAGAGGGGCAGGGGAGGGCCAGTCCAGCCTGGTCTTGCTTGGGTGAGTCCAGGAATCCTTCCACAGTGCAGGGGCGGCTGCCTGGCATAGCAGTGTGGGTGTTTCTTGGGGGATAGGACGCTAGCCCCGAGCTCACCCATCATCTTCTGAAGGGAGCAGTGTCCACACAGCCCTGAGCTCCCCCATCGTCTACAGAGGGGGGCAGGGTTCACACAGCCCTGAGCTCGCCCGGCATCTTCCAAGGGGAGCAGGGTTCATAGAACCCTGAGCCTATTCTCAGACTGCTCTTGATTTAGGTAGCTGAGCTTTCATTCTGACTCCCACCCCACATATGACTGATACATTCTCAGAAAGGCTCACAGTGATTAAAAAAAGAAGAAAAGGATGTGCAGGAGCAGGCCTGTACCCTCTGATAACTTCCAAGCCGTTTGTCATTGTGAGCCCAGTGCCACCGATGCGAACAGGATACATAAAGGGACCCGGATCCTGTTGTTCTCAAAGGCAACATCTTTTGTCTTCTCTACCTGCCCCTCCCACTTTGTGGCAGCAGGGTATCTGATTGGACAGCCAGTCATGTATATGTAAGCACTGTATGGTGTTTGGGAGGGTACCATCATCATTAATGTTCTGGGCTTTTGCACCACCAAGAAGCTATTTTTCTGTCACTGTTTGCCCCTCTTTTGCTCCAATTTGCTGTCTATCCTTTCCATAGTTTTTCCAACTCATCTTCTCAAAGATGGCCACCTATGGAGACTGCCTCTTCCTTCCCCACCGTCTGTCTTCTGCCCTTCTTTATTCGTTTGTTCATAATGTATTTTATACCAGAAATGCACTGAACTTGTGCTTCTGGTCCTCAGACTGGAACAGGAAGAGCAGGTTACCCTGTGTCTGCTGTTGTGGCCCCATGGCCAGCGCAATCATTTGGGGCACTGAGCAAAGCAAACTACGTAGTGATTGAATTACTTACAGCCTCCGGGTCTTGTACAGTTCTGAACAGAGCTGCTATAGGAAAGACCCTCTTAAAATAAAAAGCAAGAAGGAGACTGGGGTAGAAATGGGCTCTTGCCTAGCCCATCTAAACCCCTGGGTGTTATCTTTAACAATCCCACCCCCACCCCCAGAAAATTAGCAAGAAGCCATTGCAGTAGAAAACAAGAAAAAGCCTTTGACTTTCTTTGTAGTCAAGTCTCTAGTTTCTGATTGACTGATCAGTTAGGGAAGTTTGGGGATGGGAAATGTCAGAATGCCAAGTCAGAAGTTCTCTGAGCCTCTGAATGATGTTCCCAGGGCCTACTTGTCTGGGCTGAACCTCCTTTCTGCCTGGCCCCTCTTATTGATGGAAGCCGAAGCAATTGCAAACAAGCTTCCATCCGCTCGTGCAATACTCACCCAAATCCCAGACTCCCCTGGGGTGCTAGGAGAGCATGGAGGGAGGCCTGGGAGGCCGTGATTCTGAGGCCCATTGATGTTTGTGTCAATTCTGCTCTTCAGGGAGGGCAGCAGCATAGACCTTCCCCGTGTCCTGTGCTTTGTCCTAACAGCTTTGTTAAAGTCCATTTGCAAATCTCCTGATTATCGCTTCAGGTCTAGCTCAATCATCAAGTTTCTTGCGAAAGCCTTTCTTCTTTCCTTTCTTTCTTTCTCCCTTCCTTCCTTGCTTGTTTTCTGTCTGTCTGTCTTTTTTCCTGGTTTTTCAAAACAGGGTTTCTCTGTGCAACAGCTCTGGCTGTCCTGGAACTAGCTCTGTAGACTTTGAATATTCCACTTTGTCAACATTACTCTACAGATCTCATCAGCCTGTTCATTTAAATGACTACATTGGTTACTCATCTGAATCATGTCATAATATGTCTCTGCATCCAAGTTATGTGCCTTGTGTGAAGTTGGTACTCTCTGGATGCTGAGAAGACCAGTAAGCGCATGTGTATGACAATAGACAGGTGGCGAGAAGGCTCAGCTGGGAAGACAGGGCACTTGCTTCACAAGCCTGGTGACCTGGGTGTTACTCTGGGAGTTCCATGGTGGAAAAACAAAACTGACTCCAAAAGTTGTCCTCCGACCTCCACATCTCACACACACTCACACACACACACACACACAATCACACACACTCACACGAATACACACACAATCACACACACTCACACGCATACACACACACATACAGACACACACACACACAGACACACACATCCTCAAAACATTAAATAAATAGACTTTACTACAATCCTGCCAGTCACCTGCTAACAATTGGGTCTTCCCTTGGGGTCATATTAGATTATATGTATGTGTTATACATGTGTATTTCTGTTTTCATTCAGGGACTCTGATTGTTTTGAAACATCCTTACCCAAGAAAAGTGGAAGAACCTTCCATTTATGAATCAGTCCGGGTCCACACAGCAATGCAGACAGGAAGAACAGAAAATGACCTCGTGCCCACTGCACCTTCTGTAAGTGCCCACCATGTTCTTCACTGAATGCCGTCAGATGTAGCAAGAACTAAAGTTCGTGGGCTCATCCAAACGTTCTAGCTTGGAGCCCACCTAGTGGCACACTCTCATAATCTCAGCTCTTGGGAGCCTGAAACTTGAGAAGTGCTGTGAGTTCAACCTGGGCTGAATAGGGAGTTCCTTGTCAGCCAGAGCTTTCTTATAGCACCCTGTCTTGAAAAGCAAACAGACAGACAAACAAAAAATGATAGAACGGTATGTTCTAGAGGGAGTATAAAAATCGGATAGTAATATAATATTGGAGGCTATAATTTGGTCCATCTGGACTGATGAAAATTAAAAACAAAATGAAACAAACAACCCACAAATGCTTTGGCTGAGTGTAGCTCAGTGGTTTTAGCGCTTGCCTGCTATTGTGAGGTCCTGGATTCCATCACCAGTAAAACACACACACACACACACACACACACACAGAGGGGGAGGATGCCTTAGTGATAGGAATTGAAAACTTAGAGAACGTCACTGTCATGAACCACACAGGTTTACTGGAGAGTAAACGAGAGAGGTGCTCACCGAGTTCACTAAGCAGCCATTCTCTGACAGGCTGCTTAAAAACTGGAAAAACAATTCCCTTTGCATTTCAACCGTTCATGAAAGAAAAGCCTTCTCCAGCTTCACCATAAGATTTAGGGTACAACTGGGCATGAGGGTACACGCCTTTAATCTGGGCACTGAGGAGGCAGAGGCAGGCAGAGATTGGCTTCCAGGAGAGCAGGACTAAATAGAGAAACCCTGTCTCGAAATACCAGAAAACAAAAGCAAGACAAAACTTGGGGTGCTATTTTTCCAGCCTTCATTCTTCACTGACTAGCACGCACAGAAAGTATTCTTACTTCTTTACAACATGAGCCCCCACTTTAGTATGTGTGTTACAGAATCGCTCGCTCGTTGTTCCTCCCAGAGTCCATCAGTGCATGTTCTGTGAACCACAGTCTGTGGGTTCCTCCTGCACCCGCTCCCTTCCCCATTCTCACGGTTCTTCTACATGCTATCTCTTCCTGGCATGCCGAAAGCTTCTAGTAGGAGGAGTCTCAAGTTTTGCTGATGATAAGAAAGGGCACTGCCCAAATAAAACACCAAGTCTACACTTGAAAAACAGCCTCTTGCAATTATGCCAGCTACCAACTTCATCAAACCGACGGGGCCTTCCTATCTCCGAAGTGATTTTTTTTTTCTTCTGTTCTTTGATGCCAAAGAAGGCTTCCTTATATGTACCGCACTGGGTGTGATGGTGAGATTAAATTTGTAGCAAGATGCTGTGCCCATAAAAGAGGAAGGAGGCCTGGGGTATAACTCAGTGGGTAAAGCACTAGTTACACAAGCTGAGGACCTGGGTTAAGATCCCCATACCCATGAAAAAGCAGGGTTCATTAACACACAGGTCCTTGTTCCCTGTGAGAGGTGAGAGGGAGAGGCAGGGGAGCCTCTGGGCGCCTCAAGTCCAGCTAGCCTTGTGTGTGACTCTAAGGCAGAAGGTGAATATACTTAAGGTTGCACTTTGACCTCTATGTACGTACTGTAGCATGTACATGCACACAGGTACAATTGCTTGTGTGTTTTTGTAACTTGAATAGTTACCGGTGTGCCTTATTTTTTATCATTTTTCTACAACCCCTCAGAAATTGGTTAAGAAAGATGTGTGTGTGTGTGTGTGTGTGTGTGTGTGTGGTGTGTGTGTGTGTGTGTGTGTGAGAGAGAGAGAGAGAGAGAGAGAGAGAGAGAGAGAGAGAGCATGTGCACGTGTATACACTTGTGTGCAGGGGAGGCAGCTGTATTAAAGGGTTTGTGAAAGGAAGCATCAGATGTTAGAACCAGAGAAATCCAGGAAAGCAGAGTGAGTGATGTGCATTCCAGAGTCAGAGGGGACCAGCCATCTCCTACCTTCTGCTCAGTTCCTGTTTCCATCCCCCAGTCCCTTCTGTTTCCTCTTTGCCTATACTTAGCTCTCTAGCCATCCCAAAGCCACCCCCTGTGTCAGCTGTCTGCCTAACTCCGCAGTCTCCTCTCCTAGACTTCTTCTGGTACTGAGAAAAAGCATATTCCATACAACTCCGGTCACACACCCCCTCCCCCAGCTCCCTCCATCTCCCTACCCACCCAACTCATGCCCTTTCTCCCTCTTTAATAAGCAAACAAAAAACAAGAAATGTACCACGAAAACAAAACCCCAAATATACAAGCAAAATGCCAATAAGACAAAAAAAAAATGCCCCCCAAAAGCAAAATGAGAAAAAATTCTACAAAAATACCAGTGAGTTCGCTATGTGTTGGTCAACGATTCCCAGACATCAGGTCTACACTGAAGCCTGGTCAGTATAGCCAGTGAGACGCCACTGAAGGAAAATGAACTTTTCCTTTGCCGGCAGGTATCAGTTGCAAGTAGTTTCTTGGTGAGGGTTGGGAACCCGTGTCCACCTTCCTCTCTCGGACTCTCCTAGATGATTTGTGGTCAGTGAGACTCTCATCTTCTACAAGTATCTTTCTTTTTTCGGTAGTAAGAATCAGCCAGTATGTAATCTGTAGCTTTGGTCTTAGCCGGGAATGCTAGGACCCTTTAGAGCAAATTATGGGAGTCGTATACTTTCCGCTTACTCCATGTGTCAGACGGTTCACCTGCCCAAGTATGTAGACACCAGAACACAGGAGGAAATTTAAGCAGTGTTTAGTGCTTGGTCAACAAGGAACACAGATTATATCATGAGAAACCCATGAAATTGATTATGTACTGATACTGGCCAAAACAGCAAAGACTGTTTAATAGATCCTGAACCCTATCTCATCACTCACTCTTTGCTTACGGAATCCTGGATTGGCGTGGTCGAGGGAAGAGTTCTGGTCGGATTGGAATTATTGTCCCCTACTGAGCACAAGGGCTCTCTGTGTCCTAATTGTCCCAAGCAGCCATCCGATGTGGCACCTCTGCCTTCCAATTACAAACTCTGAGCTGTCCACACTTCTGCTTTCTCTTTGGAGAATTCAGTTCCTGCCTGAGCCCGCTCTGTGGAGAAAGAACATTGCATCATACCTATAGAAGAAGAACTTGCTTGAAGTAAAATTGAAAGTATCCCCATTTCCCCTAAATGCAGGCACTTACATAAAAAAACATCCTTTGTCAGCTGCATTTAGGGAAATTGTTATTCCTGTATTGTAAACATCAAAGCATTAGGTTCCTGGGATAAGGTTAATTTAATTAATTCACTTGTTGAACTGTTAAACCTATCTTTAAGTGCCTTGAGTTTTGCGATAAACTAGACAAAGACCCACCCTCATTGAGTTCCCATTTTAGTGCATGTTGCAGATCATAATCAGCATAATATTATAATACCAAGGGGGAAGACAGGGCAAGCCTCTCTGAGAAAGTAACATTTGAGCAGAAATGTCATTTAAAGGAAGTAGAAAATTTGTTATGTGTGTATATGAAATTGTCAACAAATAAAAGCTTTTAAAAAAAAATAAAGGAAGAACAGTTCACATTCAAGGAGTAACCAGACAGACAGGGAAAGTACCACAAAGTCCCCGAGGCACAAATTCCACTGAGTGGCTTCAAGCAAAGCTGGGAGGAGGGAGCCAGGGGGAACCTGAAAAAGCAGGAGAGAACCAGATAGAGCTGCTCCCCCCCCCCCTGCCTGGGGGAAGGTTGAGGCCAGCTAAATGTCCTGAAGGCATGAGGCCCAAATGCCAACTGTCTGCTTCACTGTCCAGGGCAGAGCCTTTGCTCTGGGTGTGGACAAAGCTGAAGAGCGGTTAGTCACAGCATTTAAGTCCTCACCCTTTGAAAGGGAAACCCCTAACCGCCAGTGTTCAGTGGACTTGTGGCTAAATTAGGGGCAGGAGACCTCATAGGACATAAACTGGTCACCTTCAAGATGTTGTGAATGTATAAGACGACCTGATGATAGACTGGAAGTGTCCACGTGTATCCCTCGCCTGTGGGTATGGTGTGTGTGCGCATTTAAGTTCTTCATTACAGAGTTATATGTATTTAGCTATACCCTGTGAAAATCTTCCATGTGTTATATTGTTTCCTAAAATACAATTAAGTAAATTCATTACTATTTTATTATTGAGTATATCAGTTTACTTAGAACAGTCATTCTGTTGGGCTTTTTTTTTTATGGCATTTTAAGATCTGAAACAATTTTAAATTTACAGAACAACTGAAAGAACAATCCAAAAAGCTTTGTTTTTCCTCAGTCATTTAAGAATACATTGCTTACAGGATGCGTGATCATTTTGAACACTGCAGTGTGCATTTCCTACAAAGACCCTTGCTTACATGACCACACACAACCATCCAAATTAGGAAGTTGCTATACCACAGTTCCACATATTTGTATCCACAGATCTCAGTGGCGTTTGTTTCCCAAGGCAGTCCTTTAGAGCACAAAGATCCTGTCCTCAGTTTTGTGGCTCCTGTCTCTTGAGCATCCTTCCTGTCTCTTGAGCATCCTTCCTGTCTCTTGAGCATCCTTCCTGTCTGAACTCCTGTTTTTCCTTGAGTGTCCCCCTCTCTCATATATGGAAATTAAAGGCCAATCCTCTTGTGAACTATTCCCCATGTTGGCTTGTTCTCATTGAGTCGTGTTTGGGTTGGGGCGTGTGGTTTGGTAGAGACCACCACGGGAGACGACGGACTGTAGTGCCCCTCCTGCGTCCTCAGACCCACCAGGTTTACAGTTTCTCCCATGAGAACAGGTTTGATCACGTGAGAGGTATCACTGGCTTTCTTTGCTTTAGAAGCACTTTATTGTTTTTGCCATTAATAAAAATTCCAGGAAAGCTACTGGGGCTGAATATGCATACTCTTTTCCTTGCTAAAATTCGGTCCATCTGTTGGTGTTTATTGGCTTCCTTAACCACAGCTCCGGTTACTGAGAGTGGTGAGCTCGGATGCTCTTGGTTCGTTATGTTTACTGCCTGCCAGGCTGCCTTAGGGAAAGCTCTCCATTTCTCACGTGATCCAGTGTTTTTGGGTATCGATGGATTAAAATCCTGGCCATCACAATTTATTTTGATCTTTCCAAAATTGTGTGGTATTTGGTAAGTAAGAGCCCTTTCAAGGCGGCTTCTGTGTCTATGGCCTCCTAACGTTTTAGCAAGGCCCCCCGGACTTGACAGTGCCTTCCTCGTGCTCATATCTAGAATCAACTATTTTTCTTTAAAAAAAAAAATACCTGTTCTTCTTTGTCTTTTAAAGTGATACTTTACAACTTTATGTCTGAGCCACGTGTACCTGTTTTGATTGAAATGTCACTTTCCTACCCACTCGGGGATAAGGAACAGATATATGTCAGCGTGTGTACCTATGCCTTGATGTCAATTCTATCTGTCCATCGGTCCATCAGTCCATCTATTCTTCCCTCCGTGGATACACAGCACTGACTGAAAATTTTACCCAAACCACAAGGCTCATTCTAGGTTTTTCCCTTTGCATGTCTGTGACACCCTTCTCCCACAGGAGGAATACAGGTCCCATTATCAGGAATTTGCTGATCAAGAGAGTTGTAAGCAGTCTCCTGCTGCCCATGCCCCTACCCAGACTTCCTGCTCGCCTCCCCATCAGTTCCAGGCCTCTGCCTCTGCGCTCTCAGTGCAGACGTCTGCTTTACCGCTTTCTCTGTGAAACCGTGCTGGTTGCCACCGCCACCCGTTTGAAAAGAAGTCCTCACCCACCCAGCTTCACTGTACGCACCAAGCTGCTGCTCCCACGGCATGGCCATCCACACGAGTTCTCCCTGTTCTCTGCTTGGGCTCCACCGCTCTGTGCCAAGGTGCCCGAATGTCCCCACACTCATCCCCCCTGAGGACTTTGGATGTTCATGGCCCTCAGTGAGGGAGGCAGCTTGGCTAGTCCTTTATAGCGCAGGATATCTAGGCTGTTCCTAACCTGGAGCTGTTTCCAACATCTCCCCGGCTACAGAGCATAGCGTGGTTAAGGGTTTGGCGTAAGATTCTTTCAGTTCTTCTATCTGGAGACTCTGTATCAAATTGTATTCTATACCCTTCTATCTTCAGCATTTCACCTGTCAACACCACAGAAAATACTAGGCTTAATATATTAGACAGAGGTAATGTTGAGAATCATGATCCCTTAGCTTGAATTCAGTGGCTAATCCTATCAGGATCCTTTACCAAACATTTTATCCTTAATCATTTTATCTCTCTATTACCTGTAACAACCCAAAATGATAATTTTTAAAAGTTTTCTTAATACTTAACCTAGTTTAATTTTTTCTTTTAATTCTAAATTTAAATTTTAAAAAATGAAGTGTATGCTGTGCATGTATGTCTGTGCTCCACATGCTTCTTGCCTGGTGCCCCCAGAGGCCCAAAAGGCCCCTGGGTTCCCCTTGAACTAGAGTTACAGGTGGTTGTGAATTACTGTGTTGGTGCTGGGACTTGAACCCAGTCCTCTGGAAGAGCAAGTGCTTGTAACCACTGATCCATCTCTCCAGCCCCTTAGTTTAGTTTTCTTTAACGTCAGAATAAATCACAGTGGTTATGTGACGTCAGCCTCAGCTGTATTGATTAGCACCATTGAAAAGCACATGTAGGAAGTTTATCTTCACCTTCCTGTGGTCAGAAGCGGCTCTGGGCTATTTCTCATCTCTGGTTCTTGGAACTTTGGGGGTTCCTCTTTCTCTTTGGTAGGAAGAATTCACCTCAGGAAAGGACACTCTGGAAACTCCCATAAAAAGAACCTTGCCATCAACAGCATCATTTCCCAATTCTTACTTGTTTTCTTCTCTATAAAGATACGTTAGGAGAACACATTAGAACAAAATAACCTTCCAGGAATCCAGTCTGTTTGGAAGGCTACAGGACTGTGAAGGTCTTCATTTTAGGGCCCTGACCTGGGTAGATTTCCCTACCATTCCATAATTCATAGGTACTAAGTACTGCTGCTACCTTTGAACTAGTGAAGCATAGATTAAAATAAGTGATACATTTGTATTTCAAATCCCGTCTTGAATAGATGAGGTATAAATGCATTTGCCCTTCTGAATATCTTCCCCGTGGGATGTGAGTCTCCTGAGACGGCTTCGGAGTAGAGAAGAGCATGTAGGAGAAAGAAGACTACGGAATAAGACAGATATTGATAATGCTGCTTCGTAGTCCTCTCTTAAAGCTTTAAAAAAAAAAAAAACCCAGCCCTGAAATAAAGGAATCCTTTTACTTTTCTTAATATACTGTCCCAACTGTAGGGATCTCACAGTATCAGTCAGGATTCCCAAGGCCCCACACGGGTGCCAGTGTCTTCGGATGTCCAAAGAGCCTTGTATACAAGGCACGATGTTTGCCTAAACTATCCACATCTTCCCACGTACTTCAAATCAGACTTATCACACCAACATAGTATAAACGCCAGGCAAATGGTTAAAAGACTGTTTAGGAGACGATAAGAAAAAGGATATATACATGTTCAGTACAGACTAATGGTTTTTTCAAATGTTTCAATCCATGGTTTGTGAGCCCAAGAGTGCAGAGCTGACAGATACAGGGGCTGAGGGCCAATGGGTGCCGAGCATCCATTACATATGAGCGCTTATAGACTAGGGTTCCTACGACAACACAAGCTGCTGCTGCTCACAATGTGCAGCAAACACCACCTGTGGAAGTTTTTGTTTTCATTAAGAATTTTTTTTTTTTTTAGCCAGGAGGTGGCGATGCACACCTTTAATACCAGCATTCGGAAGGCAGAGGCAAAGGCAGGCGGATCTCTGTGAGTTCGAGGCCAGCCTGGTCTACAGAGCAAGTTCCAGGACTGGCTCCATAGTTATTGAGAAACCCTGTCTCAGAAAAATAAAAAAGAAAAAAGAATTTTTCTAATACAATCTTTTCTCATTTTACAGAGTTATGTCCATTCCCACTCCCTCCCCTCCTCCAGCCCTCTTTCCCACACCCCAGCACCCCCCACATCCACTCCTCAGAAAGGGTTAACGCTTCCTTGGGGAGTCAACAAAGTCTGACACTTCACTTTGAGGCAAGACCAAGGCACTCCCCCCTATATCTAGGCTGACAAGGTATCCCTCCAAAGAGAATGTACTCCAAGATGCCAGGTCAAGCACTAGGGATAAATCCTGGTCCCACTGCCAATGGCCCCTCAGACTAACCAAGCCTCACAACTGTCACCCACATTTAGAGGGCCTAGTTTGGTCCTATGCAGGTTCCCTAGCTGTCAGTCCAGTGTCAGTGAGCTCTCATTAGCTCAGGTCAGCTGTCTCTGTGGGTATCACCACCATGGTCTTGACCCCTTTGCTCATATTATCACTCCTCCCTCCCTTGGGCTGGTCTCCAATAGCTCGCCCCAGTGCTTAGCTGTGGATCTCTGTATCTGCTTCCATCAGTTGCTGGACGAAGCTTCTATGATGACAATCAATGTAGTCCTCAATCTGATTACAGGAGAAGGCCAGTTCAGGCACCTTCTCCACTATTGATAGGAGTCTTAGCTGGCGTCATCCCTGTGGATTCCTGGGCCTTTCTCTAGTGCTGTATTTCTCGCTAGCCCTTTAAAGCCACCCTCAATCTCTTTCCTTTCTTTCTCTCTCTGTCCTTCTCCCTTCTTGAGCATCCAGTTCCCTCACGTTCTCTCCCCTTCTCCCTTCCCCCTCCCTTTTCACCCCCCCCCCCCATACTCCCAATGTGGCTGTTTTCAAATCACCAACAGATGAGCCAGCCTCCTGCAGCACCTGGGAGAGTTTGAAATGAAAGGGGACCAGCTAAAGATCAGCTTTAACTGGGGGTTGCGGGGGTGGGGGGCAAAGTGCTTCTGTCAAGTATGAGTTCACCCCGAGTTCTGCAAGATAAAACAGGACAGGAGCATAAGGCCAAACATGGGACGGTTCTGGACTTCATTCCGGCCTTTTTCTTTTGCAGCTTGGCACCAAAGAAGGTTACCTCACCAAGCAGGGCGGCCTGGTCAAGGTAAGGGAGCGTGGTTTGCTCGTGCCGCCCCACAGGGAAGACAGCAACCAGAGGCTCAATTCTTGACACCGACAGAATTTTTTTAAAAAGGAAAATTATAAACTTATTTTAAGAAGCCACTTACATTTAATGAAAAATGGCTTGACTCAAGTTCTCTGGCAAAGCCCCGTGTAAGAGTAACCTACAGTTCATATTAAAAAGGGAAGCCCCATGTAGCATGCTCGGTGGAAGGCTCAAGAACAAATGGGATAAATTAACTTTTGAACATTTCTGCTCTTTTTTGGGTTTGTTTGTATTTTGTTTTTGTTTTACAAAAAGCCAAACTTTTATACAATGTTTACTGAAAGGTAGGCCAAATACATCACTGGTGCTTTAAGAAAGTTACCTGCCAAGTTACGTGCCAAGGTAAACATAGTTTGGGTCTTTACACGTCCAGGTTGCCTGACTGCCCCCTATCTGCAATTGAACTTTAAGTTCTCTTACGTTTCCATGGTGTGTGGCCACTGTCATCTCGTGCCCTGTCGGCTCTTGTCTATCTCGGGGGTCAGAGTCCTTACCCCTCCTTTTCCTGGGAACAGCTGCTTGGCTCTATCCTGGCCATGCAGTCATCCGTGTCCTCCCTGGACCGCGTGTCCTCCCTGGGCTGCGTGCTCCCCGAGGATGGGAAGCATTCCTATTCGTAGCCTATTTGTTAATTTGTTTGTTTTGTGTTCAGATCTCACTGTGGGTCTCACTCACAGCCCAGGAGGACCTCAGATATGCAGGCTTACTCCTCAGTGCCCTCCGTGGTAGGATTGCAGGCATGTACAACCATGTCTAGCCTGGGTGGCTTATTCCTGAATCTTCTATTGTCCCTTTTAAGTGGGCACATTGGCAGCTGAGACAGATCAGAGCTTTGTTAGGACATAGGAAGGAAAAAGCTACAGTTTTTGCTGTCAGTCCACGAGTCCTCAGGTAAAATTCAGAGGGTCATGTGGTCAGAGGTTCCTAAACCTCAACTGGCTTGTTTGTGAAATAATAGTAATAATGATGATGGTAATAATGATAGACGGCAATGCCTTATATGTGTTAGTTATATTTTACTCAATATACATTATATATAAATAAAATTTCAAGAACATACATGAATATATCTGTAAATTTTTGATGTGGGGATATAGCTCACAGGAGGTTCTCAGAACTGATATGTATTTTTATTATTGTATTAATAAAATAGAAACTTGAGTAGCTCGTTACAAGTCACCTTGAATGTCTACAACAGCTGCATCTATTCATTTAAGTAAGCTAGTAGTATTTCTATTGTGATCTTAGAACATATTATTTTTAGCAGCTATTTTGAAGCTTTTCTCAAAAATTATACATGAAAATATTTTAGGCATATTTTATCTAATCATTTATATACTTTTAAAATGAAAATGTCAAGTTTAGATATTACATTCTGTACATAAAACTTAATTTTTTTTTCTCCTCAGACCTGGAAAACAAGATGGTTCACTTTGCAAAGGAACGAGCTGAAATATTTCAAAGATCAAATGGTGAGGAAGACATCAGCACCCCGCTCCCCCTTAGACTTCAGTTCTGTAAGGTTCCCGGTCTCCTCTGAAGAGTTTAGAGACCTGAGCTCTTTTCCCTGTGTATCTGTTTATAATGGGGGTGGGGCACACTTGCCAGGAAGTCTATTTGGAGGCCAGAGGACAAGCTGTAGAGTTGTTTCTCTCCTTCAGAAATGTGGTTCCTGGGAATCAAACGCTGGTCATCGGGTTTGATTTGACCACAAGCATCTTTAGCCACAAGCATCTCGTCGGCCCAAGGTGTGGGCTCTTGATCCCTGGTCTGCTCTGACTCTGTGAACAGCAGTTTGCCTCTTAGGTCAGTGCAGCTGTCACTCTGTAGAGCGCACGGTTCCCTCCGTTTGGAGCCATGGGATCCCTCCCTTGCCATACTTTATTAACTGTCCCTATGAACCAGCGTCCCCTTTTATTAAACACACATTCATTGCTCGGGTCCATTTTGTCATGCCTCCTTAAAATGATCTCCCTTTGCTTTGGTATACAAATTTTCTGCAAAAGTAGAAGTTTATAAAAAGATGGGCGAAAATACCACTCCTTTCCATGTGTTGAAAATCTATCTCTGTCTGATGTAAATTGTCAAAAGCAACATCTTTTTTAAGTTATGTGCGTGAGAATGTGTCTGTTTTGGGGTGTGTGCACGTGAGTATTGGTACCAGGCCGGAGGCATAGCACCCTTGGGTGCTGGAGTTACAGGCAGTTTTGAGCTGCCTGAAGTGGGTGCAAGAGCAGGTCACCCTCTTAAACAGTGAGCTACCTGTGCAGCCCAACAACGTCTTCCCACTGCTTAGCCTGTGAAAGGCTGGCTCTCAGAACCCGGGGTGTGCTTCCCTTTGCCAGGCCTTCCCATCATTCGTAGTGACATTTCATTTGTATTTGAATAAATAATGTTTGCCTGAAGTTCAGAGAGTAAAACAGCTGCACTGATCAGCCTTACAGACCAGACAGTGGTGGCACACACCTTTAATCCCAGTAGCCACACTAGTTAACCACAGAAACCAGGAGGTAGTGGTGCACGCCTTTAATTCCAGCCCTAGAGAGGAATATGAGATGGGAGGAGACAGCTCTCAGGCTCAGTCTCATTCTGAGATTCCTGGAGGCAGGATCACCATTTTGGACTGAGGTAGAATAGAGGTAAGAACCAATGGCTGCCGATTTTGCTTTTCTGACCTTCCGGTTGAACCCCAATTTCTGTCTCTGGGTTTTTATTAATTGTGCTACAATCATCCGTTATCTTCATGAAAAGAAATGAGAGTTGCACACAGCAGAAACCTCGTTAAAGGGTGAGTGATGGACGCACGTGTGTTTATTATGGTTTCTCTTTTTCCCCAGTCACCAGAACCAATTCGGATCCTAGACCTAACGGAGTGCTCAGCCGTTCAGTTTGATTACTCACAGGAAAGAGTAAACTGTTTCTGGTAAGTTGCTTTCATAAAGGAAATGTTTCCAAAAGTCTGTCAAGCCAAGGAATAGAAGTCGACCCCATGTGTACACGTCTGGATGGGAGGGACAAGGACATTGATGTCAGTGCCTCCAGCTGCAGAGCACACAGTGGCTTCAACATAGAGGCAGAGTGGCTAGGTTCAGACTGTGAGCTAACCACACAGCTAGAACTCATTCAACCATTCATAGGCTCTGGACCCTTGGGGGCTCAGCTGAGTAGACTCGTATTCCACAGAAGATATAAACGGCAAAAAGATGGGGGTGTGCATACACTTCTTTTGAAGTCTCTCGGGAGACTATAAACCTCACCTGTAATAATAGAAACTTAAAGCTTCCTAGGTATTTCTGTCATTGCTGGTAGAAATTGCTCGGTATGCACCAATTCTTCAAAATCACCATGATAACCGCGGGAGCCCTCATCCATTCTTCTTCCCTTGGAAGGAGCTCACACTGTCGAACCTTGGTCTATACAACTAGCCATGCTGACTCCCACACATTCCCGCTTTTGTTTCGTCAGCCTGGTGTTTCCGTTCAGGACATTCTATCTCTGTGCAAAGACAGGAGTTGAAGCTGATGAGTGGATCAAAATACTGCGATGGAAGCTGGTGAGTTGCACCAAGTCTCCAGGCGTCTAGTCTTGATAACTAACACGCTTGTGACTGCCGGTAGACTTCGGCCGTCAGAGCAGGCCCTAGAACCAATGGGGAGTCTGTCTGTGACCTTGCGGGATAATCTGCGTGTGCTTAAAGGGTGGAAAATGGAAGAGGAGGTTGTGAGAAGGAAGGGTGGCGTTGTGCTTGGGTTTCAGGCTAGCCTTAGCTGCAGCTGCTGGCAGTCAGGTGTAAGGCGTGTTGGCCAGCCCCATTTTGTCTGGAAGAGAGTACTGGGATGGGAGGGTCTCAGAGAGGAACCTTGACACATGCTTCAGACTTGGAAAGCCTTTAAACTGTCAAGGAGGGAGCTGGGGAAGGAATTTGGCTCCCAGTATAAGCTGCACCTTGTGTGTATCAAGAACCTAAGGTGTTTTATCTTCCTGATGTGTACTTCCCTAAGGGGAAGACAGTTAAAATAATTTACCAGCCTTTATGCTTTTCACCATGTACGTTATAGAGTTGATAGCCAAGTACAAGCTTTCTAAAATTTCCTGTAAGTGTGGTATGTTGGCAGAATTTTTCATTGAGGCCACTGGTCAGCTCTGTGCCACCACCTGGCTTCCAAATAATCATACAGAGATTCATTATTGATTATAAATGCTCAGCTGATAGTTTAGACTTCTTACTAACTAGCTCTTTCTTCTTAAATTAATTCCTATTTCTTGTCTGGGCTCTACCACATGACGGTACCTTTTCAGAGTAGAGCGTGTTCATCTGCTTCCTCTGCATCTGGCTGGTGGTTCCGCCTCCTTCTTCCCTGCCTAGCCTCAACCTGCATAGCTATTGGCCATTTAGCCCTTTAGTAAACCAATCCGAGTGGCAGGTTTTCTCAGTGTATAAAAGGAGTATTCCACAGAAGTAATATATTAGTCTGGTTTTTGTTTCTCTCATGAGATACTCGAGGCAAGCTACTTATGAAGTACCCAGGGCTCACAGTGTTTGAGGTTCAAGGGTTTAACACACACTTAGCTTCTGAGGAAGACCTCTTGGTGAAACACAAAGACAGGGACATGTGGGGGATGGAAACCTCACACTTCTAAACAGAAAGCCAGAGATCAAGTAGGGTTGAGAGTGTGTGGGTCAAGCTCAGACTTCTAGAACTCTCTCCAAAGGCAGTGTACCAGTAACATAAAGACCTCCTAGTAAGTCCCTTCTTTTAATGACCTGATCAATGATCAATGCCACCACTCTTGGGAACAAGCCTTTACATATTACTGAATTGAAACCCTTGGTGTATTCAAAGGCAAAGCACAATTTTCCTAATCTCTCTCTCTCTCTCTCTCTCTCTCTCTCTCTCTCTCTCTCTCTCTCTCTCTCTCGGGGGGGGGGTAATTATTGTAACTTGTATCTATAGGCAGTGTCTGAAAATGGATATCCTTACGGCCCAACTCAGTGATAAGAACAGTCCTCAGTCCTCCCTGGTTAAAAAAAAAAGCAACAAAAAACAAAAGGGGGGCATGCTGTGAACACTGTTGAGCATCCAAGTGTTTTGGGTTGCTTGTTTTGCTTTGTCTTTTGGTTTGTTTTGTCTCTGGTTTGAAATCCAAGTTAATATGGTGCTCATGTTGAGACTGCTCCCGTGCTGATTCTGAGGGGGGGGGGGCACTTCGTTATGGCTGAAATGACCCATTTCTAATTCCATGTGCTTTGTTATTGTCCTAGTGACACCTGGTTATTATAGAAAATTTGAATTAAAAAGTAGTTCAAATACATACTTTCCGACTTCTCCCTGAACAACTAGAGCTTTAAGAAAACAGCCCTTCTCTGCTGGTTTTCATCCCTCCACTATCTTTCTAAGGCCACAAATGCAGACCTGAATCTTCCTTTTGTTTGAGCAGTGTTTTATTATGCTTTCCCGGAAGCATACATCGACTCCCAGAGTGTACACACTGTAAAGCCATTCTACGATGTCTGGAGGGAGAATTAAAAACAAACATTAAGAGGGGTAATCTATAGCTACACATCTTCCTTACTGTTTCCGTCTGTATCTCAAGGGACTCAATGATAGCTATACCTATGTTTTATTACAGTCAAAAATAAGAAAACAGCTGGATCAAGGAGAGGACACTGTCCAAACTCGGTCATTCATCTTCAAATAGAACTTTCTTGGCTTTTCTTGGCTCAAGGGCAAGGTGGAATGTTCCAGGTGCTCTGATCTGTGGCAGGCTTCAGAGGAAAGGCCATTAAGGGAGTTCCTCAAACAAAAACAAACACAAAGCAGACCGTGGTCAGGAGCTGGACGCTGTTTGCTGATTCACGGAAAACAGCTGGCAGGACCCGGCCATCTGCTCAAGAACACAGAAGCAGCAGCACCCCGCTGATGGGAACTGCCTAACCTCCACTGCCAGTGGAGCCACTCAGAACACAGAGCAAGGCTGATGGGAACTGCCCAACCTCCACTGCCAGTGGAGCCACTCAGAACACGGCGCAAAACCAATTGCTGGTTTGCTCTCTCAGTGGCTTAGGCTTGTTGACTCTAGTTGCCTGGCGTCCTGCCCCAAGTCACGGTCAGCACAACTAAGCTTCAGATGTGTTCTAAACAGCAAGGAAGCGGCAATACATTGGGAGCACAGGCTCTTTAAGAAAGCAAAAACAAGATAATAAACGCCAAGGACTTTCAAAGGAGGGGCTGCTTTCGTTTTGTTTATATACAAAAACCTCAAGAAGGGCTGGAGAGGTGGCTCAGCCATTAAATGTGCATCTGTTCTTGCAGAGAACCTGAGTTCAGTTTCCAGGATCCACATCAGATGGCTTGCAAACACCCATCTCTCCATCTTCAGAGGGATCGGACGCCTCTGACCTCCTTGGGCACCTGCGCTCAGGCACACATACTCACACACATGCACATAATGCAAAAAAAAAAAATTAAAACGTTTCCAAAAAATGAGAAAATGTTCATCATGGGTTTTTTTTTTTTTTTTTTTTTTTTTTTTGCTTTTAAGAGGCTTAGAAATCAGACTGGTGCCACACCACCTTTGACAACCTGAGAGGGATCCCTAAAACCTACATAGAGGTGGAAGGAGAGAACCAACTTCACAAAGATGTTCTTTGACCTCTCTATGTATGTCAGCATGTGTGATCCCCACATCACACATAACACACACAATAATTGCTTTTTTTTAAATAAAAATCCAGTGGATCCTTTACTTCTAATGATAAACTGTGAGAACTACATGTCTTGTGGGTAACTAGATAGATAGATTTACTATATGTAAATTAACCTATAGTAAAGAGTGAGGATGTTTTAAACAGCAAGAAACTGCACACTGAAAGGTGATGAGCAGTGGGTGACTTTTAATTTATGGTTATCATTACAAATGTAATAACACACTTATAAGCACTAAGTTAGAGACTTCCCCATAAAGGATGCCCCCCATCTCTTTCCAGGGTAGGCTGTATGAGAATAGCCCCATGTAAAGCACCCCAAGATTATTAAAAGACATCTTCTGCTACATAGCTGTTGCAAACTAGATCCCCAATGACAGACTGGTGTTCAGAGGCCATGAATAGGTCTTGACTTCTATTATCACTGTTGATGTGGCTTTAAAGGACAGAAGTTAGAAGGGTGATGAGCCAGCAGGTGGAGAGCTGGTGGGACTCTGTTCTCGCAGCACAGAGGCAGTGGGCAGCACTTTCGCCAGTGTGACCAAGACACTTGAGAGAACAGCTGATCGGAATGATCACTCTGTGGTTCTTGATGTCTCAGTTCACCATGCTTAGGGTGTGGTGCAGCTGCTCACGTCAGAGCAGGCAGGAATCTGAGCACGGCTGGAACAGAAAAGGGAGGAGCCAAGACAAGAGACCCCAGGAACACATACTTCCAGCCAGGTCCCATCGTCCACATTCTGCCACGTCCTAGTAATCTGTTCAAATTCTCATCAATTTGGATGAAATAAATGAAGTAAACCTGTCATTAGGTCAGCTCTCTCACCTCTGGGATGCCTTCAAGGACATACCCACAATACTTTTGGTATTTCTCATTCACAGTACCTTGTTAAAATTTTTTTTCTCTTGTTTATACAGCTAAGACTCAGAAATTGTTTTTTTCCAACGGGTTTTTTGGAGTTGGGTTGTGGATCAGTGGTAGAATGCTTACTGCAAGGAGGGGCATTTAATTTGTTATGTTTGTGTTATATGGATTAAAGCAATGTCAAGATAAAATGTTTTGTGTTAAGTATGCAAAATAAGGAGTTAACATTGGCCTCTCCTTGAGAGGTACCATTTTGTTTCCTTACAAAAAAGTGTTTTTCTTCGTGTGTTAAATATTCTTTTTACTTTCTGTAAAATTTGTTTATTTATATGCTTTGGTTCTGTTTACTAAGTAAAAAGTACATGATTTTGTTGTACATGTCCAGTTTTATTATTATAACATTTATTGCTTTCAAAGAGGAATAAGATGGAAAAGGCCAGTTAGACACTGGTACATTGTGGTTTATTTAAGGGGACTGCCTTTTTGACAAGCATGACTTCACTTGCCACCTGCAATAGAATGACCTGGCAAAATAGCTGCCTCAATGGGTGGTTGCCCTTAACAACCTGCTGACTACCACCGGAAGCTTCTGTAAAATCCTGCTTGCTTGACCACCCACGCTGTGGTTTTAGAGTATAAAATGAGACTACGAACCGGACCCAGGATGGAGGCCTTTCAGGAGCTGTCCTGGCCTTGGTCCAGCCGTGATGTTGCCTCTCTTCCACTCTCATTAGCGTGGGAATGTTTTCTCCAGAAGGATTCCCATAGACTTTAAAATTTTAAATACAACTGATTAATATCCTAAATAGCAATGGCACTTCACAGAAGACTGGAAGCTTGGGAAATATGACATTCCTCCGGGGATTTAGTGGAATATGAAAAGGACAGTAAACACACACAGAGAGACACATGTGCGCGCACACACACAGCAGTCAATGCTGTGAAGGGTCTGGAAAGCAGTGGAGGAGAGTGGGCAGGGCCCCAGACCATCTGTTAGAGAGACTGACAGGAAATGGGGGACCTTACACACACACACACACACACACACTTTGTCTGTTCTTGGCTGTCCAATGAAAGCATCACGCTTTTGCCTCCAGAGAAGAGCCTGGTCGGGGGCTCTTGGCTAGTTTCCTAAATCCAAAATAGCAGAAGGGAAGGTGTTATGTCAGAGGGCAGATCAGAGCAGGGGATGTGGGAGAAAAGTGAGGTATGTCTGTCCAAGGTCCCCTAAGACAGCCAAACGTTAGCCATTACTGTCAAAATTCCTTCTGGGAAAATCTTGCCCCACGTATTCCTACTAGGACAGTAAAATCTCCCCGTGGGTGAGGGAAGGCTAGTGCAGCTGGAGAAGCCAACCCTGCTTCAGAGACGCTGGGCATCGGAGCACTGAGGGGTCCCTCTCTATCCCCTCAATCCTACTCAGGTGGTATGCGGCAGTGCCTTAGCCCCCACTCCCCCATTCTGATGACCTGAACCCGCTGGGGCAGAGAATAGGAAGACTGTGACAGAGGACATAAGATCCTACTTCCCTCTCCTTCCACACTTCAGATCCCCACTAAGCTCTTCCTCACCAAGGAAACCATACAGTGGTCTGAGCTAGGCTTGAGCCATGGCGTCAATTAGAGTTGTTTAGCCGCCTGTGCTGGAGGACCAGTTATACTTTTTAAAATGTTTCTGCCCTATCATAGGCAGGGCTTCTATAAGCCATTAAAAATGATTTAAGGGAACTGGAGCGAGGACCAGAGAGAGGTCCCTAGCACCCACATCAGAGAGGTCACAACCATCTGTAACTCCAATGCCTCTTCTGGCCTCTACAGGCACCCATACACATGCCTTCCCCCCCACACACACATACACATAATAAATTAAAATGAAGTGAAATTATATATCCCATTTTAAATACCAGATTCAGCAGACATCAACTTAGTAATAGATTAGTAGTAGTAGTAGTAGTAGTGGTGGTGGTGGTGGTGGTGGTGGTGCTAGGGAGAGGCAAGTAGTTAAGCATCAATTATTGTCTACCAGTATAGAACAGCCTGGACTATGGACCACATTCTGAGTAGCACAATACAGCTGTCCAACAGGCAAAAGAGGGAGAGCCCACTTGGGAAGGAATCTGTGAGGTTGGCAGACTTTGGGATGCAAATGTATAGTTAACAGAGTGGGGTAGGACTCAAGCAGTCAGCTGACAGATCTCCAGAGAGGAAGAAGCCTGAGCGGAGAAGGTCTCCATCTCTGGGCATGCTCCACGGTTGCACTTCCCAAGTCCTGCACCAAACCCTTATAATGAATACACACACATATAAACCCCACTGATCTGCTCGAGAACCAATACAACTTTCTCTGCAAGTATCTCATTTTGTTTGTTGCTTGAAGAACTTTAAAATATTTTTTTTTAAAGATTTATTTATTTAATATGTGTACAGCATTCCTTCCATGTGTGCCTGAATGCCAGAAGGGGGCGCTGGGTCTCATTATAGATGGCTGTGAGCCACCATATGGTTGCTGGGAATTGAACTCAGGACCTCTGGAAGAGCAGTCAGTGCTCTTAACCACTGAGCCATTTCTCCAGCCCCTAAAATATTTTTACTTATTGTGAGTGTAGCCAATTTGAGCTCGCTCCCCAGACTTACACAGGAGAGAACTGACTCCCAAGTTGTCCTTTGACCGCCACACATGTACAGGTGCATATGCACACACAACACTAAATAGGTGGAATTTTAAAAGTTATTCTAGTTTTATGTTACCTGTGCAAAAGGATATTCAGCAATTCCCATCTGCAGGACTTTACAAATGATCAATAATGTATCCAGACTTTCCCTGGGATAGAAACTCTACAGCAGCGTGAAGTTAATAATCTTCAGGGTACACACACCTACTCGCATGTCTTTCCTTGGGTGTTCAGATGAAGCAACCACTCTTTCCTGCAGTACTGAGGATCGAGTCCTGGGTCTTACGCCCACCAGGTGAGTGCTCTGTCGCTGAGCTGCAACTCTATCCTTTCAAGCCAATTTGTTTGAGAATGCCAGAGTTGCCCAGGCTGGCCTTAAACTCCACCCTTCTGCTTCAGCCTTCCCCACAGCTGGCCACCTATACAATTATCACCTCAATAACAAGTTTGCTACTTTATTCTTCTTTGTTTCATGCACCACATTACTGGCAAGAACTTTCCAGACATCAAGTGGTAACCCAGACAGTAAGAATTCTGCATTTTATTGGGTGCATCTCAGAGCTGACAGTTTATTGCTCACCAGAGAGCCACTTCATTGTCACGTGCCCTAAGCAGCCCTGCTTCGTGGCATGCAATGGCATCCGTCTCACTCTCGCAGCACCTGCACACCTGGTTCCCTTCCTCGCAATCCATCTCCTACTGTGCTAGAAAGTGAGGGGGAGGAAAACTGCTTCACGCGGAATCCGAGGACAGCGCTAGCACCAACTCCAACATGGAAAGCTGTCCCCAGAGCAGACATTCCAGGCCATTGCCTCTACGGCTGTGCAGTGGGAATGCTGGAGACTGGTGCACAGTCAGTGCCTGTGAACTGACTCACCCCAGCGACAAACTGACAAGGGGAGTCATGGCTGAGCCACTCCTGAACCTCTGAGGCATATCTAGCAGATAAAACCTCGGTCCTGGTGATTCAGTCAGACCCATGGAAGAGGCTTTGAAAGTTTATACTAGGTAAAACAACTCCAATACAACACCCACAAGAAGCAGCCACTGCTGATTCATGTGGCTGGAGGACAGAATTAATTATGTCCATTACAGATTTGAAAGTCTGAAAGAAGAGGCCTATACAAAGCTCATTCTGTACTTTTAAAAATACTATTTTATTTATATTTGTGTATGAAAAAAATGGCTATACTGTCATTTTCATATACATACTGATACTGGAAACAGAACTCAGAAACACGGATGTCCAATGTAGAAAGAACACAGTCATTAAAGCACTGTTACGGACAGAGGAGAAGAGACGTCATGAGCAGTGATTTGCGTTCTCACTGAAGAGCAGCACCCTCGAGAAGAATCAACTCCATTAGTAATACTCATCGACCCGAGATCACAGACAGGAGGTTAGTGATTGTACTTACTTTATTACTTTACTAAGCCATTCATCTGCCTCACACTCAATGCAAAGAAATAAAATATAATCTTAAAAAAAAAAAAACGCCCTCATTATTATTCTCATAAGCGTCTCTGTGGCTTGTGGCGTGAGAGCACTGTGCAGCAGGTGTGCTTGCTGGCTCCAGAGCATCCGTGTGCCACTCTGATCCCAGTGACGGGACAGACACCACTCTATCAGACATCCACACTAACTCCATGGGAGCTGCACTAGAATGAACCATTTTTGTGGCGTTCCCAGATCTCACTAAGTAAGAAGACTTTATACACATAAATATAACAATTGATCTGTCTATAAATTACAGCTACAGGCTCTCCTTTAGTGTAAGGTGGAAGAGCAGCCCTCTGGACACAGAGATAAAGTATTACTGTGGTCTAAAGATTGCTGGACTGGCAGGGTGTTGTTGCGGTGAAGACAAGGAAGACATCAAATCCATTGTTAGATTAGGACACTTCCACAACTTTTATCAGCTCTTCAAATAATGGAGCCAGTTCCTTTTCTAGGCTGACAATCAGTCCTAAAAGAGATTTAAGAATTTAGAATGTTAGAAAATTCTTCTTATGAATGCTGAGCTAAAATCAACCCTCGTCAGGGTTTGTCAGAGCATCTCACCACAGCAACAGAAACTAAATTCTCGTCATGCTCAACTTGTTTATAAGTATTCAAAATCTTAAAATTGTAATTTAACTGATGGGTCTATAGAATGAAGTCATTTTTAGCATCAAATGTGTCCTGCTTATGTTCTGTAACCCTTCATTTCCGTGGGCTGTTTTAGTGTGAGCTATAAATAGCACACGAACCGCAATGCGGGTGTGACTAGCTTCTACTGCACCAAACCAATCTCTTGACCATCCCATTTGCATATGGAAATACCCTGGACGATGGAGAGGGCCCCCATTCTGCAGACGTGGGAACTAGGAGTCAAGTGGCCACGGCACAAATGCAGGTGGTTGACAACAGCGGCCACCAGGCCCAGCTCCAGGGCAGTACAGTAAAGAGCATGCGCAGGCCATCCTCCTAACATACCTGTGTTGGCATTGCTGCTGGCTATGAAGCTCACCACCAGAGGTAAACGATTGAACTGAACCACCTGGAAGGAGAATAAGGTCTAAATCGCATGCTGCATGGTGAAAACACAGTTATAATTCAGCTGCAATAACAGATTAAACAGCTGATCACTGAACTTTCCAGGCAAGGCTCTTACCTGTCACAACAGAGGAACTGTGCTGAGGAACCCCAGCTGTGCAAGCTAACG